TTTCAAGGTGCTTAATTAGTAGAAGTGAAAATTCTTCTCCTACTATTCAACAAATGACGCATTGTAGAAAAATTCCGCAATGTTTGTTCAAAATTCATCACGATTTGTGCAAAGATTCAAAACAAACAGTTCTGCAAAAATTGGCACAAAATCATCCTAATGGACCGTAAGCAAGGTGTCGCTAAGATAGGTCAAAATTTAAAAAAAAAAATCACGCTTTGTGGACAATCCTTAAAACAAAAATATACTACTCCCTTCCTAGCATCGTTGGAGATATATAGCTAATCAGCGCCTTGCCTCGCCCTTCTTATAGTGATCTCTTTAAAGAGCAATACTTTTTTAAAAGAATGATCGGACTTTTGTAAATACCTAGTAGATTACCCACAATTAAAAAATTAATTAGGCGATAAGCCGCGAAAACATGACCTACCAGTTGTAATGAGGTCTTACCAGGTCAGAGGTGATTTTTCTCAAAAGAAAATCAGCTCGAAAACTACCAGATTGGAAGTAATTGTGTAACTTAGGAAACTTCCCACAGTTGTAAGGTCAGGCTTAAACTAGATATAAATAAATAGCGAGAACAGACGGACCAAGTCGATCATAATTTCTTATTACAATTAATTAAGGTTTTTAGTTGAGATAAAAAAGTCAGTGGCAAGAGCGGGATTCGAACCCACGATCTTCGGCTAGATAGGCGGCTCTACCACTTGAGCTATCGTGACCTCGATCCACTCGGACATCAACTTCCTATCTCAACCCCACCTGATGAGTTTTCCCTCCTTTTTGCCATTTTTCAAATGTCGTGTAATCTATTTGATTCTCGGCGACAAATGAAATGGCCACGGAGAGCATTAGTGAAGTATACTTCATTTTAATTCATTAAATTCAGTAATTTCGTGGTCCGCTTGACCAATTAATATATTACAATTAATTAGGGTTTTTAGTTGAGAAGTGGTAGAGCAGCGGCGTATCTACCCGAAAATCGTGGGTTCGAATCCCGCTCCTGCCATTGACCTTTTTAATCTCAACTAAAAACCTTAATTAATCCACGAAATTAATGAATTGAATAATTTCTTATTTTGTTATTCAGCATCTAGGCAAAGTACGAAAACTTTAAAAGCAAAATATACTTCATTGACCAATTTTTTGTGCAATCTTGACCTAAATTTTGCGCCAGTTTGGTTTCCGTTTAATCGTGAAAGATTTTTCCTCGAGGAATATCAACGGAAAATACGTTAAAAGTGTTTCTCAAAATAAAATTGAGTTTGAGATTTAGTAATGATGAAACTGTGATTTCAACAGATGTTCTGGACTGCGATTTACAGCGGAGGACGAATTGGACTCCATATTGTCGAAGGCGACCTCACCGCAGTCCGTTATGCCCAAGAAATTATCGAGGAATACATCCCTCAAACCACACATCTCATTGGTAGGAATTTCCGATTTCTGGGTGACAATCCCAGACCTCGTAGAGGCAGAGTTGTTCAATGTTTTGAAAACCTGGGAATAATCCCATCTGCCCTTCACCCCATTGTCTCCATACCTCAATCCCATTGAGCCCATGTAGGATGCGTTGGCCTGCAACAACTGAGTGCAGCATCGCAACATCTATGGAGTGGAATTCATTATGAAATGACAACCCTATTAACAGTACGACTAACAGGTGAACAGAGGTTTTAGCTAACAGAGGACATTATACACAGTATTAATTATTTAAACAAATTATTGTGTTTTGGCCAGAGCAACATAGAGGCCCTGCACCTTGACCCTTTGAGTCCTCTCCTAAACCTCTCCCTCCGTCCTTTTTCCCAGATTTCTCTGTCTCCCAGTGCGAATCTATTTGAACCAAAACCTCTTCTCGGCTCTCATATGCCCCTTAAATTTTCCTTTAATAGTTCCCAAATTTCCCATCTTCACGTCCTGTACCATAGGTCGTTGCAACAGGACCAACATCACTACGACCCTTCAGTGACTGATTCTTTTTTTCTTTATACAGTCCACGCCAAATCGTAATTTTTTTTTTAAATCCAGCCAAAATAATTGCGTCCAATAAACAAAATTATGGAATTAAAACCTTTTATTTTGTTATTTTTCAAAATCCCTTAATTAAATTTTCCCTCAGTAAAAAACAATAATTTCTAATAAATTTGATTGTAATTTATAATAAAAATAAAATTAAAATGCTAGAGAAAGTAAGTACTTCAAAATTGGCAATATTCCTATTCATTTTTGATCAGTTTATTTCTATATTTAATTTTATATAATTTTACTGAATATAATTCATCTAAATATGACCAAAATACTCTTATCTTTACATACTTAGTCAACATATTTTTATGTAATTGTTTTCTATGTACAATGTAAAAATTTAAATTGCTCTAATATTATTTATATAATAGTTCAAAATATGTTACATTATTTCCGCAGTTTATTTCCATATAATTTTATATTATTTCTAATTAAAATTTTTACTGAATATAATTCATCTAAATATGCCCAAAATACTCTTTATTTTTACTTAATTAATCAACATATTTTTATGTAATAGTTTTCTATGTACAATGTAAAAATGTAATTGCTCTTATATTATTTATATAATAGTTCAAAATATGTTACATTATTTCCGCAGTTCTATATAATTTTATATAATTTCTAATTAAAAATTTTACTGAATATTATTCATCTAAATATGCCCAAAATACTCTTTATTTTTACTTAATTAATCAACATATTTTTATGTAATTGTTTTCTATGTACAATGTAAAAATGTAATTGCTCTAATATTATTTATATAGTAGTTCAAATATGTTATTTTATCTTACAATGGCAGTTTAAAAATTTAAAATAACTGATAAATGTTATCTTTTTTTAAGTAAATTTTTATGAAACATTCTTTTCAGCTATTTTCTTATTTTACAGGTTGTTTAATAATCAAGTAATTTTTTGCTTTGTTTTCCCATTTTTGCTTTTATATTGTTATATTTTATATATTGTATGTTTCTATGTTTAAACTGTTTTTGTAAATTAAATTTTTTTTTTTTTTTTTGGGGGGGGGGCACCGTTGCGGCCACCCACGCCCCCCTAAAAATGTATTATTATATTACAATGTGTTGCTTCTTTATCCTCAGTGAGTTTGGTGGGATAGTAATTCAAGTGCTTACAGGAAAAGACTTGAGAAAATTCTTAAAAATTCCTTAAAATTTTTGATGATCCTCGGCTCAGATTCTTTAATTGCAATAGTAAAAAAGCTTACCCCGTCCCCGAACTTCTGTTGGTACTCCTATCACTTCTCTCGTCTTTCAAAATGATAAACTTTTAACTTTTTATATTTTATTTGTTTTGTGTTTTTGTAAGAGTTTAACGGTTGCTTCTAGCTTAGAAAATAAGTAGCATTCTTATTAAAATATCGATTTTATCAAATCGATCTGTCAAACAGTGATAATTACTTATTATTCAGATTATTTACATTTTATTTATTGATAACAATAACGATAAAACAAACCCTAGAAATTTCAATAATGAATGGCCATTATAAAATATAAATCATGTGCCTCCCATCACATCACCATCCTTTCTGGGCGATATCGTACAAATTTAACATAGACGGTTCACAAAGGGTTTCATAACTTTGTTTTAATGTAATTTAAAAATAAGACAATTTAAACTAAGCCCCCCAAAGTTCATCAGGTAGAACGGGTAGGTCATTGACTTCCGCCTCGTGGTCTTCACTGGTGATTCAGTCATGTTCTCCACCTTGATCCCGATCACGGTTCTTTTCAGTGTCACGCGAGCTGGTAAGTCATTGACAAAGTTTTGTCCAAAATGCAAAACTGTTGTAATTTGGAACTTGGGCCAAAATCTGGGCTCGAGATTTTTCAATTTTTTATTTCTTTACCATAGTCAAATTTTCTTAAAACCGCTGGATAACGCTTGTAAAACATTTCATTTATGACGGAACAAGACAAGCGAGAGGGGGCGGAACACGTTTAACAAATGCCACTCAAACACCGGAAACAGTCTCAGATTTTTAATTTTAAAACAGTCATAAATTAAAAAATAATAAATTATACTTGGCTATTAAATGTTTTATATGAAATGTTATTTTTTGTTTATTTTTTATCTTAATTATTAATTATTACAGCTTCAAAATCTGGTTTGATTTATACTTCCCTCCAAAACTTATTTTCTCAAAATATACCCTCTGGAATTTTAATTTTTAAAAAAGTTATTAACATATTGATTTTTTTTTTAAACAAAAAATTGCTACTGACATTCAAAATGTAAACATTAATTTACTACTTACTACTAAAGATTGCCATATTTTTGACTCTATGCAAACTCACCTGTGTAACTTATATCATTTCATCTTGAGAAGCGCAGCAATCTTTACAAAAGGTGTTGCGCTAGAAATCCAACTGTAAAAAGCTTCCTACTGATGTAGAGATCTTTAAAAGCCAAATGTGCAACTCTGATCACTTGTAACAGGGCAATTCTGTGAGAACATCGTTCACATTTGACTATTTGTAGCCTTGCCTTACCCTGCTTTTATCCCTGACATTTTGACTTTATACTGAGGTCTTTAAAGTTGATGGTAATTTATCTTTAAAAAGCAACTCTTCTTAATCTATGACAATGATAGGACTTTTGTAATAACCTTGTCGATTTTTCTCAACTGAAAACTTTATATATAAATTAGATAAGCAACAAAAACAGACGGATCAGTCTATCAGGCTATCATTATTTATGATTTTATAATTCAACTCTAATAAGACAATTCTGACTGAACTTAACCCTTTTTTTCACACATTTGGCTAGTCAGTGCATGGCATTGCTGTCACCATGATAGTACTTTGGATGACCCAGTGTCTTGCCTCACCCTATGAAGTAGTACCCCTAGTGTGTGTGACTTTATACTAAACTCTTTACGGTTTAACAGTAATTTCTATGTGAAAATCAGCAGTTTACAATCTTATATATGATTTCTTTTACTTTATTTTTAGAAGAAATATGGGAAAAGGATATGAGCGAAGAGATGGTGATTGGCCCGACGACAGATGGCTACCAGAGGGTTGATTTGAAGTGTGCCGCTGAACACATGGAGGTGACTATCGTGACCGAAGAGGATTTCTCTGGGGTAATTTACACCAGGGGTAGCTATTCGGCCCAAAAGCTTCCCTGTTTCAGAGACCTCAAATCTGGCACCTACTTCAGGATGAACATCCCTTTCGACGACTGCAAGACGAAAAATGTACGACACCTCCCATCGCCTTCCCAACCGAGTTTAATTTTCATATTTTCCTCAGGAAGGCGGATTGTACAAGAATGTACTGATAGTGCAGCACGATGATTATCTCATCATGCCCGGAGACGCTGCCTTCGACCTAGAATGCGATTTCAGAAAACCGAAAGATGTTCCGGTTCATAAATCAGTCACGACTGAAGTGTAAGACCCCTACACTTTTTAACAAGATCAAATGACTTTTTGTCTCTGCTTTTCAGTTTTGATGTGATAGCAAGGATAATGCTGAGTGATGCGGACCCAGGTGGAAAGCCCATACCAGAAGCGATGAGGTTGAAAGCAATCAACATGTCGAATGTGGTCTCATTTCAACCAAAAATTTTACGAAATCAAAAAGACGAGCTTTAGTTTCATGTTTTCTCAAATTAATCCAATCTTTTTGTTGTATATATATAAATATATTATCTAATTTCAACTGTATTTATTTATCACTTACAATATTGCACATTAATTAAACTTTATGCCTTGCTGATGTACTAAGTTTTGTGGTTTTTCTTAATAATTTTTCCTAGCAAAAAAAAAAACAACTTTTATGATGAAAATGAAATAGAAAATGTTCAACAAGAACTAAATTTAACCAACACTTTTATAAAGGATTAACATGAAAATAATACATTTGTTGAACTTAAATTTAAATTTAAATTGTGTTTTGTTTTATTCAGATGGTCCTTAAATTCAGAAAAATTTGTTCGTTTTAAGCAAGTGTTCTTCAGCTCTCGTTTTAATTTCTCTGTCGCTTTGTCCTTTATATTTAATTTTGCAATTATTACAATTCAGTTCGTACAACTGTTGTCAACTTTGTCTTTAGGTTTTGAGAGGATGTTTCTAAGTGACACTATTACTTTTTACCAAAATTGTTGGTACTTGTAATATTCAATAAACAAAAAATAAAAAAACCAATGGATGAAAAAAAATTATTTTAATTTGTATAATTTAATACAAAAATATAAAGCAAAATTTTGATTAAGCCAAAAGATACTGCAGACAATGCTTGTTCACAAATAGCTGAAACGAAAAAAATAATTGTATTAAAAAATGGTAAAGAATATAAAAAAAAGAAACAGTGTAAAAGATGCTTACGGGTTTATTCCTGCCTTGACTGCTGAAGCATACCATTTGGTCCGCTCCACGACATCTCCATAGTCTTCCAGTGCTTTATGCACTGCAGGCAAACCCCCATGTTTGTGTAAAAAAGGGCCAACTGCATAAAATACATCTTCTAATTGTTCATTGCCAAGAATCGCCCTTATTTCATTGATCGGCACATCCATGAATTCTTCTTTAAGTTGGCGATTAACTCCACTGCAGTTATCCGTGATTTTGTCCAACTTGATATTTTTTAGTTCTTCCAATGAAAATTTATTACCTTGCTTATCATAAACCACACCTTCTTCTATCTCCTCTTCATCATCTCTCCAGTATTTCATGCCGATAAACCAACTCGCCGCACCAACTAATGCTGCAGCTGCAGCGACGATTATACCAGTTTTACCACTTAAGGAAAACATTATTTGATAATATCAAAGATATTTCAAATAAACCGAAAATCATCACCATAGAAACGACAAATAAAAATATTAACTATAATCTAAATTAATTTTGAATTGGTTTTCATCTCAATTTTTTTATTTTGATTTCTCTTTCAGGATTATACTGATGACGAAAGCTTCACTGTTGTTTTCAGCTAGATTCACATGCCTAAATATAAATGTTTACTATTCAGTTTAAATTATTAAGTAATGTTATTAATTCATAATATAAAATTTTATTAATTGTTAAAATGTGGGTGTAAATCAAGAGATACGACAGTTGCAGCTGGACCTGTTAGCTCACAAATAACTAAAAAAAAGCTACAAAAACTTATAATTATTATTACTTAAAAACGACAAAAAAATAGATTGGCCCAGTCTATGTTCAAAATAGTGTGATTAAAGATTTTTTGTCCTTTATTTCTGTAATTTGTAATTTAAAGGTCATCATGACATGAGGTATCAGCAGTAACCTCTACTGTCATGTTGAGGCGGGCAGAACCTGCAACCTCGCGGCTCGTTGTCATCCGTTAACTTATTGTAATCGCCGGAAAGAAGAATAATAATACAGTTTTTGTCTTTTTCCCGTTTAAAAGTAAGAAAAATAGCGAAATGAAAAACTTAGCTGTGTCGGTTTGCCTGTTCGCCGTCCTCCTCGGTCCTTGCCTGGCCAAAAAGCCCAAAGAAAAACCAGAATGGGCTAAAAAGGACATTACAGACTTTACAGATGCCGACATGGAACGGTTGCTGGACCAGTGGGAGGTACGAAGTTAACAAACTTCAACTTCTTTTAGTATTACAAGTTGAATTTCAAAAAAAGTTTGACTTTGTAGGAAGACGAAGAACCCTTGGAGCCTGATGAACTCCCAGAACATTTGCGACCTCAACCGAAGATAGATATGAATAATGTACTACAAGTTTATACAATTTTATGACAACAGTGATTTAAATATTGTTTCATTTCAGATACAAGGCATCGACCCGGAGAACCTGCAAAAGATGGTTAAAAAGGGCCAGACGGTGATGTCGTTCGTCATAGTCGATGGTGACCCGGACCGTGACAGGACCGATCAGCTGACCAAGCTGTGGCAGGGCAGCTTGCACAACAACCACATCCAGGCGGAAAGGTAGTTCCGGCTCTTTTATTTAGCTGTTCAAATATTAATTTTTTTATCGTCGCAGGTACGTCATCGAAGACAATCGTGTTATATTCATGTACAAGGATGGATCGCAGGCCTGGGATGGCAAGGATTTCCTGGTCCAACAGCCTGAATGCAAAGAAGTTATGATAGAAGGGAAGACATACTATGGAAAACATACCAAACAGGTACTTTTTTCTTACTTTTTTCCCAAACCTTTATTCAATAAAAAAAAATTAGTTTCAGGAAGAAAGCAAAGCTCAGAAAGAAGAATTATAATCATGAAGAAAACTTTTCTAAGATCAAGCGATTAAAAAAATCAAAATAATGCTATTATGTTTATAATTAATAATTGTGCATTATTATAGAAAAGTTATTTCCGCTGAATGATTCAAGAATGATGTCCTCCACCATAGAATATGTGTTAATCTTCTGTGTGTATGTTTGTGTGCATGTGTGGGTCTCTTCTACAAGATGTTGTGATATAGGATATATTTTTGTAAGACTTTTTCCAATTATATTTTTTGTTACAATGTATCGAATGTATTAAAAAAAGTGCAAATATAATTTTTTTTAATATCCGTAATATGTTGTTTTATTATTTAATTTTACTTATGGAATTCCTTGTGTTCCTTCGTTTACCCTAGTTAATTCTACCAAGGAAAACACATCTTACAAATTTTTAGTGTTTCAAATAAAACGATATTTGGTTTATAAGCAGGGTGAGTCGGTGGTTCCTCCCACTTTTGTTACAGCTGCCAGATCTTGTGAGTAATCAGAAAACTTTTACCAACGTAATTAAACAAATTATCTAAGTGATTCAAATAAAGCAATGTTAGGGTTATAAATAGGATGTGGCGAGGGAAAAAATTGATGTATTCAACTTTTGGTTGAGCCACAAGGTTATGGAGAAAATACCGGTTCCTTATTAATTAAATATTTCTGTTGTTTTATAATTTGACATTTACAAATCATTTAATTGAATGAAACTGACGTAAGTCGAATAAAAAAATGTTAGGGTTATAAGCAGGGTGTGGTGAGGGAAAAACAGACAACTTATGGTTGAACGACAAGGTTATGGAGAAAATACCGGTTCCTTATTAATTAAATATTTCCTTTGTTTTTATAATTTGAAATTTAAAATTCATTTAATTGAATGAAACTGAAGTATGTCCAATAAAAAAATGTTAGGGTTATAAGCAGGGTTAGTCAGTAATTCTTTCCACTTTTGGTACAGCCACCAGAACTTGTGGGTAACCAGAAAACTTTTACCAATGTAATTTCACACCTTAGAAATTTTTGAATTGATTCAAACAAAGCAATGTCAGGGTTATAAATAGGGTGTGGCGAGGGAAAACATTGATGTATTCAACTTTTGTTTGAGCCACGAGGTCATGGAGAAAATACCGGTTCCTTATTAATTAAATATTTCCTTTCTTTTTATAATTTGACATTTAGATATCATTTAATTGAATGAAACTGACGTGTCGAATAAAAAAATGTTAGGGTTATAAGCAGGGTGTGGTGAGGGAAAAAAGACAACTTATGGTTGAGCCACAAGGTTATGGTAAAAATACTGGTTCCTTATTAATTAAATGTTTCCTTTGTTTTTATAATTTGACATTTAGAAATCATTTAATTGAATGAAACTGACATAAGTCCAATGAAGAAATGTTAGGGTTATAATCAGGGTGTGGTGAGGGAAAAACAGACAACTTATGGTTGAGCCACAAGGTTATGGAAAAAATACTGGTTCCTTATTAATTAAATATTTCCTTTTTTTTAATAATTTGACATTTAAATTTCATTTAATTGAACAACTCTCATATCGGCTGGTATTCCTACACGCTCTCCAGATGGAATCAAGAAATGGCACCAGACCTTACATTGACGAATGCCACGCCAATTTTTTTAATTGTGACCCCCGGTTCCTATAGGTAACAGAAAGAAAATCCAGAGGCAACGGTGGGAATCAAACCCACGACCACAAGATCTATTAGCCAAGAGTCTGACGCCTTAACCACTCGGCTGTGGACTTTTCCATCATAATCTAGAAGTAATGGTTTTTATCCACATCCCTGAAGAGGTCTCAGTACAAAAATAAGGTATGAAGGATCATCCCCTCCTCCTGTGGGTCGTTGCTGCCTGTGTCTGGCTTTTGGTGGCTGGGTTGTCCAATAGGTGTAGATATTATATAATTCACTCCACTAAACCTGAGTGAATAGTACTTGAAGGGAAAAATGTATTTAAAGTGAATGACAGTGGGAATGGATTCAGGAATTGATTGCATTTAGGGCTGAAACAAGCTAGCTGTTGATAGCCCCTGGAGCCTACCCTCAGTGGTTGGACAGATAAGACTGAGGGCTGACCACAGACTGACAACGATTCTCGAGGCCTGCCAGTGAAGACGATGATGGGGGTTTTGCTCTACAAGAATTGAGCTTTTTGGATTATTGTACTTTTCTAGTCCCTTAGTTCAGTGCCTCGATCCTTTTCCTAATAAATAGTAGGTCATTGACTGACATTACTGTAATTCATTTCCCAGGGTATGCTTTATATTCCAGCTTAAGCCTCCATTGAGAATATGCTTCGCATTCGAACACGATATAGGTGGCTGTTTCTTCCTCCTCAATGCATAACCTACAAATGGGTTCATCATCGAATATACCCATGTTAGATGCCAGTGCCGATATGACCTATCACTCTTCTGAGTTTAACCCTCTCTAACTGTACCAGTGAGTTTGCCAATCTTGCCGAGGGCTGTTTTAACATAAGCTTAGCTAAGTGGTAATATTAATATCGTATATCTCTTAGTTTTTGTCATCCTTTTTTCATATAGTAATTCTTCCATTGTTGTCTTATGTATTCTCTTGTCTTGTATGGGTATTAACACTCCTATTTTCTTCGTTTTTGTTATCGTTCTTAGGTTTCTTGAAAGACAACTTTAAAAACCGGACTACAAGAAAAAAAAATTGTATTTCCTACATTGCTATTTTATTTAGTTATACTAGAGTTAGATTTACTATTCATAACATTTGTGGGTTCTTTTGGTTGTATTTCGAACCAATATCTAATTTATAAATATTAAAATAGCGCCAATTAAATAATTTTTCTCAAGTATCACTTTCAAAGCACAATCCTTTTTGCTTATCTGGCATAAAAGGATCATTTCTTTGTTTTGCAATCTTTAATAAGTGATAGCAAGGCCTGTGACATATAAATAAAATATTCTTGTAATAAATAAGTGTAATATTTTTCTATACATTTGTCTTAAGAGTACTAAGTAAAACTACGAAGGATTTTTGGTTGTTTTCATCAGTTCGTAAAGTTGTGCCACTTGCTCATCGCTCATTTGTTCCAGGAGGTCTTCGTTGATATGCTTGCCAAGCTTGGAGGTAGTTTTCGGGCCTTTTACACCCAACTGCTCAGCCAGCATCACAGCATAATCCTAATAAGCAAAATATTTTTGTCAACAAATTTTTTTATTACTTGATTTTTTTGTAAAATTGTTAATGAACACTCACAGCCCAGCCCGATAGGAATTTGACAGCAGTTGCTGCGTCACAAGTTTTGTGCCTCCTGAACTCATCCTTTACGTATGCTGTTCCGATTATGTTCAGCTCGGCTGGAAGACCTCTGTGGAGCCGGAGGATAGTTTTGTACAAGAAACGAACTTTGAGAGTATGCTGGGCATTACTCATAATCCAGCATGCTATGCTGATTGCTGATAACTGGGCAGGGAAGTTATTTCTGGTGCCGGCCTCGATGAGTCGGGGACGTCAGGAATCGTAGATTTCCGAGTTTTTTAAAACCTTTTTTTTTTTAATTAATCTTTACCTTTCGTAAAACATACTTGGTCTAAATGTGTAATATATTCTCGGTGGTGTGATGAAACTCGATCAATGGTCCGTTTGTTATCGCGTGTTATACTTTGACGGGTGAGTTTTAGTGTGAAGAAACTATTACCACACATATCCATTCATTTTAATTTCACATCCTAGCAATTTTCAGTGTCAACGTTTCATGCCTCATTGAACTGGTAAAACGTCAGATTAACCGACTTTAGGGTTATAAATAGGGTGAAGCGAAGGAAAACAGTGATAGATTGCACTTATAATTAAACCACAAGGTCATGGATACTTGACAAAATACTGGTCGCATCTTAATTTAACATTCCCGTTGTTTTTTGTTCCACCTTTAAAAAACTATTTCATTCAATGGAAATAGCAAAGTCAAATAATGCGGCGTTAGGGTTATAAGCAGGGAGTGACAAGACTCGATTCCATCCACCGTTGGTTGAACCTCATATGACATCTAGTTCAGACAGAAGACCTTGAGGTTGAACCATAATAATTCACAACCGAGGTAATTTCACACCTTATTAGTTTTCAGTGTTTCAAATAAAACGACTTCTGGTTTATAAGCAGGGAGAATCAGGGATTCCTCCCATTTATGGTATAGCCGCCAGACTTTGCCGGCAATCAGAAAACTTTTACCCCACGTAATTTCATACTCTATGTTTTCAGATTCAAATAAATCTATTTAATCGATTCTCGATAGTGTTATAAAATTCGATCAATGGTCCGTTTGTTATCGCGTATTATACTTTGACCGATGTTTTAGTGTGAAAAAACAAGTCTATGCATTTTAATTTCACATCCTAGCAGTTTTCAGTGTCGACCTTTCAAATATGCCTCATTGAACTGGAAAAACGTCACATTAAACGACTTTAGGGTTATAAGCAGGGCGAGGTGAGGGAAATATTGAAAGATTCCACTTTATAATTAAGCCAGAAGGTCATGAATACTTGACAAAATGCTCATCCCTGTTTTTAGTTCGACCTTTAAAAAATATTTCATTACATGGAACTAGCAAATGTCAAACAATGCGACATTAGGGATATAAGTAGGGTGGGGCCAGACTCTTCACTCCATCCACCTTTGGTTGAACCTCGCAATATACCACATCTGATTCAGCCAGAAGACGTTGGGGTTGGGCCAAAAAAAATCAAAAAAATTCTCTGCCAAGGTAATTTCATACCTAATAAGTTTTTAGTGTTTCAAATAAAACGATGTCTGGTATATAAGCAGGGTGAGTCGGTAATTATTCTCGCTTTTCATGCAGCCACCAGACCAGGGTAATCCAAAAACTTTTACCAACTTAATTTCTTACCTTTCAAGTTTTCTAAGGGATTCAAATAAAGCTATGTCAGGGTTATAAGCAGGGTGAGGCGAGGGAAATTTACATGTTCTACTAATATTGAGCACAAGGTCATGGAGTCTAGATCAAATACCTGTTCCATATTAATAAATATTTTCGTTCTTTTATAGTTCGACATTTAACAATCATTTAATTGAATCAAACTGACAAAAGTTAAATAAAGCGACGTTAGGGTTATAAGCAGGGTGTAAAAAGGCTAAATCCATCCACCTTTGGTACCACCATACCACTTCTGATTCAGTCATAAGACCTTGGAGTTGGACCAAAATAATTCTTTGCCAAGGTAATTCACACCTTACAAAAGTGCATGAAAGAAACTATGTCAGGGCTGTAGGCAGGGTGAGTAAAGAGTTCCATTTAAAGCATGGTTAGGGATGGTCTTTTCTAATCAAGGCAATTCTACTTCTTATTATGTTTTTAACGTATTTCATACGACGTGGGGTCAGGGTTATAAGCAGGGTATGTCAAGAATTTGACAGCGTCTACCTTTCGTTGAATCTCGTAACATAACATTTCTGGTTCAACCATAAGACCTTGGGGACCAGACTGACACAAACAAAGGTAATTTCAAACCTTACATGTTTTTAATGTTGTTCAAACAAACTAAAACTGGTTTATAAGAAGGGTGGGGCAAAATCTGACTATGTCCACCATCAGTTGACCCTTGTAACATACCATTCTGATTCAGCCATAAGATCTTGGTGGTCAGACCAAAATAATTCAAAACTACACTACAATTTACAAGTTTTCAAATTGTTCCCAGACAAAGCCATATCAGGGTTATAAGCAGGGCAAGGCAAAACACTTTCCCATTGTTCCCTTTTTTAAACGTTGTGTTTATTATTTTCCTTTGTAAGTTTTCCGTTCCTAAAGGAATAAAAAGGATGATTGTTCTTTCTTTAATATTGGATAGGAAAACAATGTTTCAATGGTTTTAAAAAAATAATATTTTTAATCATTATTAAATAATTTTAAGTCACTTATAAATATTATTCTGTTTTGTGTTTATTCACTCTTCCACAACAGAGTCCAAGTAGGAACTTTAAGATATTTTTCACGATTAAATAGGCAAAGTATGCCATTAGAGCCAACGAGGCGTAAACGTCCAGATTATGGTACTGGTACCAGGTCATGTCTCGTGCTGCACTTCGCAGATGGGGTGCCCCTTTATGCCTGATGACATACTCAACCCAGTAGACGGCCGTGTCTAAGGGAGACATTGGCCTATCCAAGAACGCTTCTTTAGTCTTCCTGGCGTTCTCTTTATACCTGAAAAAATCATACATTATACATTTCTCACTATCAGTCGGGACGGGGACTTACGAAGGGTCGTTAAGGACTTTGTTGACCGCTTGACGTAGGTCGTCCTCTGTCAGGCTGTTGAAATCCACGCTGACCGCGAACCCGATGGATTCAAGGGCCTTGGCGTTGTGGTGCTGGTCGCCGAACATGGGTACAACAACCATCGGCACGCCAGAAGTCACAGCCTCGTTTGTACTCAGCAAACCGCCATGAGAGATAAACAGCTGAACTTTGGGATGTGCTAAAAAATAGAAAAATAATTAAAGGACTTACAATCATATGTCCTTTTTAATACATACCTAAGATGTCTCTTTGAGGGAACCAACCGTTTGTGACAATGTTGTTGACCTTCTCCTCCAGAGGTGTCTCCCTCTTCCAAAGCACTGTCTGCTTCAGCTCGGAGAAGACTTTTATGAACGCTTTCTGTTTGTTCATACTCATCGAATCCCCTTTCAGCACTGATCCCATACTGAAATAAATGACACCTTTCGATTCGTCCAGGACTTTTTGGAGTTTCTGAAAACAGGTAGCAGTAAAGAACAATATGGAATTTTTAAAAGTTTAATCTTTCGTTAAAATTATAAATAGATTTTTAGTTGAGTTAAAAAAGTCAATGTCATGAGCGGGATTCGAACCCACGACCTTCGGCTAGATACGCCGCTACTCTACCACCTGAGCTATCGTGACTTCGATCCACTCGGACACTAACTTCCCATCCCAACCCCACCTTTTAAATTTTCCCTCCTTTTTGCCATTTTTCAAATGTCGTGTAATCTATTTGATTCTCGGCGACAATTGAAATGGCCACGGAGAGCTTTAGTGAAGATATACTTCATTTTAACTTATTCAATTCACTAGTTTTCGTTGTCCGCTTGACCAATTATATCTTTCAATTAATTAAGGTTTTTAGTTGAGATAAAAAAGTCAATGTCATGAGCGGGAATTAAATAGATTACACGACATTTGAAAAATGGCAAAAAGGAGGGAAAATTCAAAAGGTGGGGTTGAGATGGGAAGTTAGTGCCCGAGGTGATCGAAGTCACGATAGCTCAAGTGGTAGAGTAGCGGCGTATCAAGCCGAAGGTCGTGCGTTCGAATCCCGCTCATGACTTTGACTTTTTTATCTCAACTAAAAACCTTAATTAATTGAAAGATATTAATTGGTCAAGCGGATCACGAAAACTAGTGAATTATAAATAGACTTAATTCCAAAATGAACTTGTCCACTTCATAGCCTAACTCGTCCCTTCATGTACTAGTTTTTCTCACCAGTTTTTTTTAAACTTATGTTTAAACTAACAACCATCAACGCGCTTGTATATATAAGTATATCTTAAAAAATAAAAATAAAAACAGAAGAAATAAATTAATCTTAAAACATGAAATAATCATCTAAGATTGTACATTATTTGGGGAGATGGTTGCTTGTCAAATTCAATCATAATAAATTAACGATGCAATTAAAAGGCGTTTAGTTACAAATAACGATAAGATTAATTATAAAACAGAAATAAATCTCAGTTAAAAATGCAGATAAAAATTAATTCTTTCCTTATATTTATCTTTTAAAATACAAGTTTGAATTATTTTATTAGGACTCGAGCCACTCGAGCCTGGCAGCCGAAAGCATTTTTGGAAGCGGGATGGGATCGGTGACTGAACAAAATGACAGATGAGGTCATAATGGATAGTGAAGTAAGTGACGTGAAAAGAAGCTTAGACAATTTTTCTGAGCGCTTTTGAAGGATTGGATGCACTGGAGATTTGGTGGCTTGTAGCCTCAATTCCACTGTCTAAAGCGGTCGCAGTAATGTCTTCAATGTCTTCTACCCATTAGAGTTTAGGTTCTAAAAGTATTTTTAGTTGACCAAGTTTTCTGTTGAGTTGTCTCTTAAGTATTGTGTGGGGATTATATATCAGTCGGCTGTCTGTCTGTGTAAAAGTTCAAAATGTCTGACTTGAATGGAAGTTTCTTGTTGATGATGTATAGTGAAGGAAAAGACACCAACCTTGGATGTTTAGAAAGTATTCAGGTTAGATTACAAAATTGTGATATCACTTCATGGGTAGTTAAGATGTTGGGATACATAGAAAAGTCCGCAGTACAAATGTCCAAGTATGGCTCCTTGTAGGACGCTGGCTATTATTCATCTAATATCCGGGCTCTCGTTGCAACCTCACTCTGAGCAGCGGCATGTTAAATAGATATCTAGGTTAGGATAAGATGAGTTTAGGTTTAAAGAGGCTGCATGGATCCCAGACTCTATCCAAATCATGGGACACTTCCAGAAACGCACCCAAGCAATATACTTCGTTCTCTAAAACCGAGGAAGTGATGTCAATAACTGAAACCTTGCTGGGTCGTGAAATGAAGGGGATAGAAGCCAAACGGTGATAAGGAACGAGAATTTAGGGTTTGAAAAGGAGTCTTTCTACCGTATGGGCCTGTAGGAGGTCATAAAGTTTGGAAGTTTGTAAGCTTTAAAAATGATAATGACGAAGAAATATTTCCACAGGAAAGAGAGTAGTTTGTAGGATGGCATATAGTGTCTTCAATACTAGGGCCTTCTGAGGAAATGTTTTGAAGAATAGTGGAGGTCATGTATAGTGGACTATGGCCGGTACTGGACATGGAGGACAGATGTTAATGCTTCTTCTCAATAAAAGGAATAAGAGGCGAGGAGGTTCTAAGGATGAATGTTTAGAAACAGAATTGGATCAGCTCATTGACAAAAGGAATGTTGAGGTTGTTGTGGATAGTAGAGTTAGTTAAGTAGTTAGGAACTATGACAATTTGTCCGATGGCTTTTCACTGGATGCGCTGGATATTGGACTATAGAGTTAGTTCAGTTTTGACGGTCAACATAGATAGTCTTCGAAGTTGAAGAAGTCTTCTGTTATGTTGTCGTCTCCTAAGTTCTAGTGTAGGGATTTTACGTTACTTGACTCGAGTCAAATTCGATAGTTCCTTGAAGTGGTTTATTATGAAGGAGGTTTATGCACTTTAAGAATGAGAATGAGAACGGAATATTTCGTAAGAGAGGAAAGTGATAAGTACGTATAATAGCATATTGTCATTGAAAAGGCTATGGCCTGAGGGAGGCTTCGAAGTTCAACCTTCGATGAAGAAATTACCTAATTTTTACCCAATTTGTGGAACCTAAAACCATTCACTTTTTGAGGGATGATTACACACAGACATGTCGCAGTACACAGGCCGTACCAGAATATTTATAACGAGGGTGGTGACCACCTGTGGATAACCACTAGGTTTCACCACTGTTGCAACAATGGTCTTGCTTCCATGCAGCCAATGGGCTTTGTAGCAGCCTGCAATAAACACGGTCTCGAACGCTCAACTTGCTTATTTCAGATTCGACGACGAGGTCGAACTCTCACTAATGGATCAGCAGCTATCAGCACTAGCTCAACAGCACACGTGGTTGCTGTATCAAATTCGTTTATCAGTCCACGGACTTCGACCATCGGCTCCACTCAGCAACACCGCACTTCTCAGTGCCATCAAAAAACCCGGTTACAAAGGAGCACAAAGCACCTTCCCACGGTTGAAAAGAAACGAGACAAGTCAAGTTTTTTTGATCTTTGTAAGCAACGTGAACTGAAACGGAATCTGCCAGATATAATTGTACACTAATATACAGAAATTTTCAATATCGTTTTGTGCTTTTAATTTGAATGTAAGATAAGCGTTTTTGAGTTGAAAATTTAAAAATACCTGCGGCAGGGGTTTAGGGGGTTTGACGGTTATCCCCCCGATCTGCACCGAGTTGGGCATAGTCGGTTTAAGCCCGTGGATTGAGAAATGCGAGTGGATCATGTAGACGGAGGCGTTGTTGGCGATGTCCCTCAACTTCGGCAAAGGACCCAGGTACTTTTCGGCCAGTATCTGCTCATTTCTGCGAAACAGCTGGTCGTAGACGGCCACGGTCCCAAACACTTCCACCGTATTCTGCAGCCTTTCCAGGAAGTTCTTTTTAACCGGATGGGCCGAGAATGGGTGGCTGATGTACGACGGGTCGATCGAGTCGCCGGCTGCGTACGACTGCCACGGAAAATGCTGGCACGTGCTCAAAAGAATGTAAGGGGCGCCGATTTTATATACAAGGCCGAAATGCACATCCGAACTGAAGTATTCTGTGATCACCAAGTCGAATTTTCTACGCTGAAGATCCATGAACTCCGGAAGGGTGAAAAGCCGGTCGTACTCGGCTTCCAAACCATATATAAGTCGCATGTTGTTCATCACAGACGGCTTTAAGGATTCGAAAGATTTGAAATCGTAGAAACCCTTCACTGGTCGGTGATCTTTCTCGTCGACAAAAGACACATCCGTGTAGTTGGGAAAAGGTTCTGCCTTCGGGAAATAACTGGCGACTGTCACATGATGACCTCTTCTCGACAATTGATCCAGCAACGGCTCAAAAACCAAAAAATGGCTCTTTCCACGGAACGGGAGAATTGCGAGTATCTCTGCTCCTGTCGACCAACCGAAAACAAAAATAAACACGAACCCCAAGCGCATGAACGCCCTCATGGTGCGTTTGCTACGTCCAAACTGACTCAAATCCCTCCCTCTCTACGTTTTAGTTAAATCTACTTTCTAATCTCATTGTCGTCTCTGATAATTGTTAGTAAACAAGTTATAAATATGTTGCCATTATCTCTAATTTCTAATTAGACATGTTTTTTGGTCAATTTTGTTTGTTCATTTTGGAGTCATCAAGATTCGAACCTAAATTTCATTAAACCAAGATTTGTAGATACGTCAAGTGCAGTCGATCAATCAATAATCTGAGATTAAATTTTTGCACTTTTGCCTCCACATGATTTGAGTTTACGTTTATTTTCACTCTCGATGCCATTAATGACCCTAGTGCTAAATAAGTTTTACTAGCTTTCTTATAAAATATATATTTCCGACGACTTTTTTGAAAATTGTGAAATATTAAAACGATATATTTCCCAAGATCGAAACGTACTGAAAAATGAAAATAGTTCTATGATTTGGAACCGATATAACCGTATACTTTAAAAGGAAACCCCAATAAAAAACCTTAGAAAGATTAAAGAGAAATAAGATTAGTAAAGAAAGAAAGGAGGAATTTAATAGAGAATTTATCGACAGAAGTGAAGAAGGACAGTGTTTTAAAACGATTCGGTTATGCTCTACTTTATCGGTAAAATCCACTTAGTCATGGATACTCAGAGGTGTTAAATCATTCATTACAAATGATCCAAGATCTTTGTTTTCTTTCATCAGAAGTAAGTCGTAAGTGTACAAAAAACGCTATAAAAATACAACAACAGACTTCAGAAGCAAAAAAAAAGTTAAAAAAGGAAGATGTGAACAAAACGTTATGCTATAAAAAATAAAACAACAGACATCAGGAATGTAACAAAATATTTAAAAAAGCATGTATATAAACAAAAAAGTAGCATCAGATTTCTTAAATAAGAAAATAATAATGAATGAGAGTACAAAACAAACTCAAGGATACAAACTAAAGATTCTTGTTAAAAAAATACAAAACAATTTGATATCTCTAAATTAAAAAAAAAATGAATTTATTAAAAGAAGTGGAGAAGAGCAGTGTTTTAAATCGATTCGGTTATGCTCTACTTTATTGGTAAAAATCCACTTAGTCATTGTTACTCAGAGGTGTTAAATCTTTCATTAAAAATGATCCAAGATCTGTGTTTTCTTTATCCGTGTTGTGGAAAGCTTTTGAAAAACCCAAGGAAAAAAAATCATTCGACGCACAAAAATTTATCTGTTTTTTTAATAAAAATGGAAGTAGTACTGAAAATATAGTAAACATGAACAATAAGTGAGATATATTTAAAAAAAACAACGACAAAAAAGGCAGCATAAAATATCAAATACAAAACAATAATAAAAAATCGCAAGCGTGCCGAAAATGATACACAGGTAGATAAAAGATGACATTTCGAGACATTAAATAAAATAACAATCTTGGATGTAAACAAAAATTTATATAAATAAAATTAGAAAACTTTAGTATTTAGAATAAACGTATATCAAAGAAATCGTGAAGTAAAAATTGTAAAGTTTATTATGTAAACGGTCGTTATAAAAAAAGTAATAATAATAATGGAAGAAAAACAGCGTAGTTCAAAAAGGAACAAAAACTCTTTCAAACAACCAATCCAGTACAAATCATGAGTAAAATATCAACCCATGTTGTAGAAAAACCAAATTTTGATAAATTATTCGTTATAATGCATATTTTTACTTGTCGTTTCTATGGTGATGATTGTCAGTGTTATTTGAAATATTTTTGATATTGTCAAATAATGTTTTCAATAAGTGGTAAAACTGGCATAATCGTCGCTGCAGCTGCAGCATTAGTTGGTGCGGCGAGTTGGTTTATCAGCAGGAAATACTGGAGAGATGATGAAGAGGAGATAGAAGAAGGTGTGGTTTATGATAAGCAAGGTAATACATTTTCATTGGAAGAACTGAAAAAGATCAAGTTGGACAAAATCAAAACTAACTGCAGAGGAGTTAAATGCCAACTTATAGGAGACTTTATGGAAGTGCCGAGCAGGGAAATACAGGCGATTCTTGGCAATAAACAATTAGAAAATGTTTTTTATGCTGCTGGCCCTTTTATATACAAGAATGGTGGTTTGCCTGCAGTGCATAAAGCACTGGAAGACTATGGAGATGTCGTGGAGCGGACCAAATGGTATGCATCTGCAGTCAAGGCAGGAATAAACCCGTAAGCACTTTTTACACTGTTTCTTATTTATGTTCGTTTATTTATTTATTTTTTATAATTTTTTTTTTTTGTTTCAGCTATTCGTGAGCAAACAGTGCCTGCAGTATCTTTTGGCTTAAATCAAATTTTTGTTTTATATTTTTGAATAAATTATAGAAATTAAAACCATTTTTTGCGTCCATTGGTTATCTTATTGTTTGTTTATTGAATATTCGAACTACCCACAATTTTGGTAACAAGTAACAGTGTCGCTTAGAAACATTCTCTCAGAACCTAAAGACAAAGTTGACAAAAAATAAGCAGGGTTTACGAAATGAACTGTAATGATTGTGATATTTAAAAATAAAGGACAAAACGGCAGAGAAATTAAAACGTGTTAAAGAACACTTGCCTAAATCGAACNCCTCGATCCACTCGGACATCAACTCCCCATCTCAACCCCACCTTATGAGATGGGGAGTTGATGTCCAAGTGAATCGAGGTCACGATAGCTCAGGTGGTAGAGCAGCGTCGTATCTAGCCGAAGGTCGTGGGTTCGAATCCCTCTCGTGCCATTAACTTTTTTTCATCTCAACAAAAAACTTTAATTAATTGTCATGTATTAATTGGTCAAGCGGACCACGAAAGTAGTGAATTAAACATAGAGATAAATGCATTTATAATATCTAGATTTGGATTTACCTCCTGTTTTAAATGTACCTAAATAATATTTGCCATACAAATTAATCTAATTTAAAATTATTTTCTTACAGTAGTTAATAGGTTAATATTCAGTTGTGGTGTGTAATAGTTTTGTTTACATTTTTCAAACGTCAAACGTTCAACAGTGAGTGACATTAAAACCAGCTTCATTAACCAACGTCCATGCTCTGGAGATCGTAGTCAAACAATTTGATAGATTCGTAAATTCTTCAACCTAATGTGCGTTTAATGCTGGAAATCTTGATCTTTATAAACAACAACTGAATGGAGGGAGTAGAACCAGTGTGCAACATACCCCACCTTCATCAATGGCATTTCGCTTGGAATATTTTAATTGACCTTCGCCATACAGGATATAAACAATTCGTGTTTATTTCACTACTACTTTACAAAATCTATGTTTGTTTACAATAAAACGCAGATGCGGTCTGGTGTGACGTAGGTTATAGAAAAACATATTCTTTATCGTGCCAACGTTTCGAGCTTTATTGACATCATCTTCAGGGCCTTGTGTTTTCTGTATTTCAAGAAAAAACTTTGATCACTAAACGCCGACATTTCTACACGAGAAGAATAAAGAACATGGGATTCTATGAAGAGATTTCAACTATATATGGTCACCAAGCAAAAAGTATTTTGAAGGTCATCGCCAGCAATGAGAAGAAACTTGCATCAGCATCAATCGGAGAACTTTTTTGTTGAAATGAAGACAACACAAGGCCCTGAAGATGATCTCAATGAAGATCGAAACGTTGGCACGATAAAGAAAATATTTTTCTAAAACCTACGTCACACCAGAGCAGCATCTCAAGATCTCCAAATAATGGATACGATTTTAAAAGTTCTAAGAAAAACCGCATAATTTTAATCTGAAATGATTTTTCCAACCTCCACCTCGCCGTGACTTAGGGAAACCCCATACCGGCGGAATGGTTCCGGAACAAACTTGACAAGCTAATACCATTTTTGTAGAGCTTTTAATTTCTTAAGACATTTGGTCTGTAAATTTATACATTGTCAAATTAAATTAAGTGGAAACCAACCCGAGACAAAATTTCGTAAGCATGAATGTAATTTACCTAAGCCAAATAAAATAAATAAACAGGAATACAATATCCATCAGAGTTGGCTTTATATCGGGCTCCTTTGGACCCAGAACTTTGTGAGGTTCCGTTTAGCAGTACATGCACTCCTTCTGAGAAGTGTGCAGTAAACAAGTCAACAACATCTCAACAGCAAGATAGAAAGAAGCCAGCTGGCATCCTGGACTTGAGATCACCGGCCTAGGTTCTACTGGATGAATTATCAAAATAACAAACATAGTGATCTAATATGCCTTAACAAGTAAGGCAATAAAATCTAAATAAAGAAATTATATGCCATGAATAACCCGAGGTTCTAAAGAAATTATTTCATTTGAGTTTGGTTTGGGGTCGAAAATGACAAAATGTAAAAAGACAATAAAATTTTTGCGTTTTTTCTCGAAAACTACGTTTTTTACGAGCCTATTTCCTTTTCCAATCGAACCAGCAGGTCGATTTACATCGAAAAAGACAATAATTTTTTTTTCGATTTTTTTTTCTTCGAAAACTACGTGTTTTACGAGACTAATTCCTTTTCCAATCGACTCAGCAGGTCGATTTACATCGAAAAAGAAAATAATTTTTTTTCATTTTTATTTTTTTTCTACAAAACTACGTGTTTTACGGGCCTGATTCATTTTCCAATCGACTCAGCGGGTCGATTTACATCGAAAAAGACAATACCATTTTTTCAATTTTTTTAAGGGAAGAGAAACTACGTGTTTTTATGAGCCTAATTCCTTTTCGAATCGACTCAGCTATAACAGCCACACTTTTCTTTTAACCTCTGATGTATATTTACGATGGACGTGAGCCAATTTTTAATTAACAATTAAAATAAAACATAAGTGGACTACCTCTAATAAATAAACCGAGGGTGATTGATAAAAACGAGTTCTGATTTTTGGCTAAGCTATTTCTTAGTCATGTAAGACAAATGTATTTGGAAAACGGAAAATAAAGGGCACTGCCAGGAAAATTGTTTTAAAGCATCAAATTATTTTACCTCGGGCAACGGTTTTGGTTCTTTGACGTGAA